TGCAGGTGTTAAAGATTTGATTCTGCAACATTTTTTAAACGTTCATTGCATATTTATCGAAATATTCGATCTAGATCTTTCCATTTGATTAACTAAGCTTTAGATCAGAAATACAAATGGTTACATTGTATAAGCATCATCCAATCAGCGAAATCTTTTTCAGTGATGAGCAGTATGGGAATTTAAATAATAAATTTCTTTTTTGTTTTTGATAATAGTTTTGATGCATTAGCATGAGTAATACGAACGTTTCCTGTTCACTTCACTCGATGACAATTCTTCACGGAAATACCCCGCTTTTTGATAAAACTCGGACATTCCATGTATTTCATAGATGCATTGTTTTAAACACAATGAGAGAATCAAACTTTAATTCTCTTTAAAACAGAAACAATTATATTGGTTGGAATGTTTACAAGTACATTTATATATTACATGTATTCAGAAAGGGACATTAATCGTTGTCATAATATTGCTGTTTTATTTGTCGGTAAACTCAGCATTGTAATACCCTCATTGTCTCTTGCAAAATATTCAATATTCATGTACCTTTGTCATTTCAGCAAATGGATGAAAAGATTATTTCGTCTATAGTTTTTTTTATATATACGAGTTTGTATTTTCCTTCTTATTGCATGCCGAAAAAGCATTCTTTGAAGGGTACATTACTACTAATAATGAAAATTTCTTCAACGCTATATATGTAATGAAAGGGATGTCTTTAGACCTATAGAATTTTCATTTGATTTTTAGAGAAAATGTTATAAATATTAATGTCTATATCATCTTTTTATTTGTATGTTCAAAAATACAAAATTATCAAAGAATGACTGCACTTAAGCTATGAGAGTTGGAACCTTTTTGTCTACCCATTTTAAGCTTAACATTACAATATATCAATAAATTAATCTATGATTAATGTGCAAGCACATTCTTGTGATATTTATTTCTAGAATTTTTTGTCATACATATTTCTATAATTACAGAAAATGTAATTGAAAAGAACATGTAAAAGCCTTAAATTCCGGAAATTTGAACGGGACCACTTTCGAATCTAAGGTATCCGCAAATAGGCGGAGTCATTTAAACCGCATGGTTGTGGAATGTAAACATTAGCACATATGATTTTTTTCGCACTACGAATTTAAATGGAGAAGAGAGAGATCTTGTTGATTTCAAGGGGCACAATTATGAAATGATTCTGATGATAAGGGATGGGGTAGATGTCTCGCTCTACAGACCATAATACAGAGGCGACATAAGCCTATAGATACACGTACTTACTATTGACGCTGTCAATACCAAGATTTCTTTCCAAACACCCCTAATGTAAAGCATAAAGTTAAATAAGAGACATATTATCTTCAAACCCTATTAAAATTTGCGCAAAAATATCCCATAGTTTGAAGTACAATAGATACTATCACAACAGAGACTTACACACAATGAAATGTTCAATGAAAGCGTATCGAACAGCAGAATGTCACGTGATTAAGATGATTATCATATCAATCGTTGATGCACGGTGACCGGTTAATTTAGTAGTTATCTCGACCCTAGCTTGGGGATATTTTTTTTAAAATTAGATATAAGCCGCAACTTGACCAACATTGTCCTTTGGATATGTATAAGTTTAAGTTAATATACACATTCTGTGCAAATAAGAAAAATGGACAAGTTGCGGCTCGATGTAAACAAAGTCGTTGAAAACTGGTATGCATATGAATAACAATAGAAATGAGACAAAACTACTAGACCCCCGTCTCAAAAGCTGGTGTCGCTCGTCATTGTTTATTACTTTCATGTTATATAATATACCAAAACCTGCTCTTAAGATATTGTTTAATACCTATAAAACATAAATTGAATGAATTTTGGAATTTTATTTTGCGCTAAACACAGGGTTCCAACTCTCAAAGCTTAAGTGCAGTCATTCTTTAAGTTTTATTATTATTGTTATAAACTAAGTAGCTTATTGTAATAAATTTCAGTGAAATCAAATACTATATTTAAAAGGTACGTAGAAAATCAAAGAACAGTGCTCGTATTTTTGCATCTTGTTTCTATATTTTTAAAGATAATTTGAGGAAAGAATGGGTGTATTTTCAAAAGTATTGTTGTTATACATGTATGTTAAATTTACAAAAGTTTTGACAAACATTGTGTACATTTATTAATTCAACATTCAATTAAAAAAAATGCACAATTAAATACAAAGAAATAAAATCATCATCCAGAAAAAAAATGAAAATGAATATCTTTTCAACATCAATTAAATGAATAACAAATTTTAAAGAGAATACATGTATCTTAATTGTTTGTTACGTTTATATCAAAATATTTTTTAAAAAATGAAAAATCATTTAACCTGTGGTTGATAAAGAACTCAGTTCACTTTATGCATAAAATGGCCCTGTAGATATTCCAATTGATTGATAATCACTTGATGTTCAATTTGAATCATTAAAATAGAGACTTTGTGCTCTCATTTCCTATTAAAAATGTTACCGTAAAATTTCACAGTCTTGGAGAACTGGCTTTATGAAATTGCAATGTACTTGAATTTTAAGGTAAAAAGGCATATTTGAGTACTTTCAGTGAAGAAAATTAATATAAGCGCACTCTCTGATCTGAAAAATACATATTTTATAATCCTCAGAAACAGTTCTATCATTTATATATAATCACTTGCTAGCTGGATATTTTTCATCCGATGTAACGCTCTATATTAAATATCGAAAAATAGCTATAAAGATTGGCCGGTTTATAGACTTTTTCAAACAATTAAGAAATTGACGCATAATGCATTGATAAGCCAGAAAATTGCGTCATTTTTTAGATACGCAATCACCAAAGATCTAATTAATATTTTACGCGTTGTTATTAAAACTAAGCATTTTTTTCAGAAGTTCAAAGGGCTTCGTTCTTTCCTTCTAGGAAAGACATGAGACCGTTTATGTTTTTACTTATATATATATATATATATTCATTAACGTCAATTTAATGTTCATCTCTTTTCTAGGTGGGAATGAATTGCATAAAAATATTGCTATTATAATTACTCATGTATCTTATTATTCGTCCTAATTCACATCCATTTTTTACCAGACTTAAGAATTAGTAGCCTTCACTTCACAAAGAGACCACGCCCCTTTTGCATTACCACTGGACAAATACAGATTGACGTCTCTACAGTGGGCGGGGTCTGGGCAGTCACAACGAAACACACAATGTGAAAAAGCGTCGGATACGGCCTTGTTGTCTGTCAGAGTACAGAACTGGGTCGGTTCCTTGATAGCTCTGTATGATACCTAGAGATATTGGAGGAAAAATCAATTACAAAATGAGTAACGATTAAAAGGTCCATCATTTTGTTATATGTCTTTTTTAAATCGTTTTCCTCTGTAGGAACGTGAATTGATTTTTTAGTCATATCAATGTCCATTAAAAAAAAATAAATTTAAAGTCAGCACAATTTTGGGGTAAGAAAAATATTTTGAAAACAGAGGTTGACATGTGTTAGTATTTGTTAAAGGACTGGATTATTTTTTTACTTTTGGTGTTTTTCACTAACATGAAGAAAAGTAAATAGGTAAAGAAAACATAAAGAAGACTCAATTATTTAGTTCTCCATAGAGAAAGAGATATTATAAAGTTAATATACTAATGAAGGTTTATATCATTCTTCTGTTCAGTCATATTAAATTTTGAAATGACACTAGTGATTTTGCAAAATTATTGGGTATGTCTTGGAACCCATTCAAACATCCGAGCATCGCATACTGAAAATGATACTCGGTTACTCGGATGTGTTTTTTTTATTTCAAAGTACATATTTATCAAAAATAACTAAAATTTGAATGCAGTATATAAAGACCTGTAAAACACTCGTTATCGACTTTCGCTGTGAATACACAGTAATTACTGACCAATCGCTATGTACACAGCTGTTTTCCCTACTGTCGTCCTTAAGTTTAATTAAGATGCTTTAATGAATTGTTTTCACAGTGCCAGAAAGAGTTATTCCTCTTATCACAGAGTCAGTAAGAGTTGTCTCTCTTATCAAATGGTCAGTGATTTGAGTATTGACAATAAACACTGACTTAAAGCAATTCTTATCTTTGTTTAAAATGAAAGAAAGATTACAATTTTCTTTTTTTTTAAAGAAACCATACTTCGTTTTTAATTGTACATATATAAATCTGGCCTTTTCTCCTGTATGAAAGATATTTCTCTCCAACTCGAATACACTATTTCAAGTCTCTGGTGAACTTAAGTCATGTACAGTTGATTCTATTGCTAATTTTTGTAAGCCTTTACTTCTAAAAAGATCATTATTTTCATCATCATACTAACCTCCCTAGTTTATCAAATAGCAAAGAAGTAATTGGAGTTTAACATCATATATTTGTAAACGTTAAAATATGCTCTTTATTTTACATATGAGAAAAGAGAGGTTCATCTTATTGTTCAGTTTAACATGGAATCGCCATATCACCTCCCAAGTGTTCTCAATGTAAAACATTTTTGTGTATTTGTAAGATCTAATGTTGAGTTCTTATTGTGTGGTGTTCTCTTTGTGTATGTTTTCCTTGGGTACTTTTAGACCATACAATTACATAAAATTCTCTTCAAAATACATATATTAAAATTTAAAACAAAAGTGTAGGTGATTATATTAACAATACAGTAAATAAACAAATATTAGAAACAAATTTATCACTTGTTTAAAACTCTAAGTAAGATTAAAGAATCTCTGAAAAATCTATCCAAAATATAAGGTATTTGTCAGCCAGTTCACTTTTCTTTTCTTTAAATGCAAATATGCTTTTTCAGAAAGTTTTACACTTGACGTTTCTTTTGTCATATTTACCTGAAGCATCCGGAAAACGGAGTGCCTGTTACATGAAATTCCCATTCCCGATATTGTAATATTGAAAGCCTTAGCCTTGATACCGAAGACTGGTTCAGTCGGCATCCTCATCATTAAGAAAGGAGTAAAGTCTTCTTGTGTTGGAAGTGGAAAACATGTGCCCTCATTTTCATCTAAGACAACCGCCATTTTAGATTTTATGTCTCCATTGAGATCGTTAAAAATCTCAATTGACTCCCATCCTTGTAAGTAAAAAAAATGTATTTGAAATCTTTTCTTTCGTTTTGATTTCTTTTCCTCATCTTATAATTGTTTAAATTTGCTTACTGGCGTTTGATACATGTAATTTGGTAAACAAAGTGCAATTTTTCTAGTAAACAAATAACTGGAAATGAAATTCGGATTGTCAAAAATAAAAAATTGGAGATCAATGACGTTTTATGCATATCCTATAACATGTATCACCACCCAATTTAAAAAGTAAATGTATGAGGGTTGTCCGTAAAGTTCGTGGACAAGTTAAAAAGAACTATATGCGGTATTAACCAACATTTGCCCCCCAAAATCAAACTTTGATCGAGTAATATTTAATTAAGTCCTTAAACAGGGGAGTATATGCTGACTCCAAAGCACTGAATAATTTCGTAAGTAATGACGTCATATGTACGTAATGACGTCACAAATATGACGTAAATTTCAGTTTTTTATGAATTTTGCAGAAAAATGTACATATTTCGTTGATATTTTAAATAAAAGTCACCGAGCGCATGTGTGTTCAGGATAAATATTTTGATATAATGTCTAGAATGATAATATCAATGAAATATGTCAATATTGTTCCTGAACACACATGCGCTCTATAAATTTTAAAGCTTAAATTGTTGAAATTTTGTCCATTTTGTCCTCTTTCTGATAAAGAATATAAAATCGGACTAGTTTGTGACGTCATAAAAACAGAAATTGTGAATACACTGCTCTGGAACTATTATATTTTCTGTTAACTTATATTTCTCGTACAATTTATTGAATTCAGCACATTTCAGGAAGTTTTCAAAATTTGACTTTTGTGGGGGCAAACATATGCCATATACCGCATATAGTTCTTTAATAGAAGTTGTGACATTGATATTTATTTTTGAAATGTTTCTAATCCTTTACTAAATGCGAATTGAAAAATGTAAAAATTTATTCAATTTCAAATGTTTAATTACAATTATGGGTTCATAATTAGTCTTGGAATGGGAACCCGGAGCACCGCAAAATTTTAATTACAAAAATATGTATCACTTTATAAATTTCATTTGTATTTTATAAAATTCTGGGGAAATTTGAAAGAATTTTACATTATTAGGTTGACAGAAACTATCACGTCAACCCTGCAAAATGTGAACGTTCAAAGTTTCAAAACGGATAAGCAATCAAAGTTAGAACATATTAAGACAGGATCGGAATTGTTAAAAAAAAAAAAAAGACACGTTTTCGGAATAGGTGGAGCAGTGGACAGTGATAAAGTGATCGTCTTTACACGGACAGTGGTTTGATAATTGCACGATATATGAGACAGGCATTGTTAAATATTATTTTATGAATGAAACCAGAACATATTGTGCATATATTTATGACTTCTCAAAACGACATATGCAATTGTTGAGTTCAACGCTGGCTATGTTGAGAAAATTTTCATGTGCTCGTACTTATTTTTTGACGCCGGGTAAAGTCAAGAATTTTCGTTTTAGTGCTCCGGGTATGAGTGTGTGTCTTTTTGGTAACTGATGAAAATACAATTATTTGTGCTTTGTTTTTGTAAAAAACATACATATTTCTAAAATGAAACATGAATTTAATGAAAATAATAGTTTCATATATTTTGTCAATGTTTGTCAGTATTTATATATGTTGTCCACGAACTTAACGGACAGCCCTTATAAACCTTCTTTCATCTGGATAGGAAAGAAATATATAAATAACACATGAATATTTATCGTTCCTCTCTCTATGGATAAGATGTGTAATAGATGATTTGATTTTCCTTTCTCTATTGATAGGAAGTTATATTACTTAAAACCCGAACAAGAGGAAGAACCACTGCCCTGATGTTCACGAAAAACTCACTTTTTATAGATGATCCAATGCCCTTTCCCATGTAATCAGTTTTCCTTTAAAATCTATAGATGAGAACACGACTCCCAGGGGTAGAGAACATTTTGCTCTGATTAGGTACAGTTTTTCTCTATATATAACAACTTTGTCCCCCCCCCCCCCCCCCCCCCCATCCCGTCAGGGTGAAACCCTTGGCTTGAGGTTGTGGACGTCACATTCTTCCTAACCATACACTTCGTTTTGCAGGAATAGAGAAGCTTTTAAAACGTAACTTTTTAAGGGGGACCTATGTCGTTCTACGTCAAAGTAGCGTTATGTGACGTTCACAATAGCGACGTTTGTTTTTACCTGTTGACTTTTGAAACCGTGATATAGGCATAGCACTGTTAAAAATCAAAAACGTACACAATTTACAAAAAGAAAATTTATTTATCATTAATAACAGTTTTATTTGATTTATGGAGTTTGTTAATATTTATAGAATTTTCTTCCTTTGGTTGATAATTCCTAGCAATTTCAGTTGTGAATAAATACCTCGATGATATACTGATATATAAGTGCAAAAAGATAAGGTAAAACTTAGCAAAGAAAGCGGCTTAAATCAGGGACAGATGTTTAATTTTATGTTTACCATTAATTGTATTTTCTGGATACACCTAAGTAAAAAAATTAAGAAATGTACCTATATTTGCTTATTGATTAGTACATTTAGATTTAATTGTTTAGTCATTCCTAAGGTGTTGGTTGTTGACAGGAAAATGGGGGGCATAATTGGAATGAAGAAGAAAAGAATTAGCCCTATTAAATTGTTTCTTATCAAAACGAAATACTCGTTTTTCACAGAAAAGATTTATATTCGTATGTTTATCAAAAATCATGCATAGACCAGATATTTTCCTTGAGGCAAATTTTAGAACAAAGCAATGAATGGAATGCTACGCTGTATGCCAATTTCACCGACTTTGCAAAAGTATTTGACAGTATACAACGTCCTGCTATATGGATGATCCTCAGACGGCATCCCTAACAAGATCATATCCATCATTGAGATGCTATACAAGGACTTCCAGGCAAAGGTGATCTGTGGAACTGAACTAACAGACAGCTTCCCAATCCAAACCGGGGTACGACAGGGATGTCTGCTTTCGTCATTTGCTGTTTAGTTTCTGCATAGATTGGGTTATGAAAATTACTATCAGTCAGACCAGTCGAGGAATATCCTGGACATTTCAACAGTCACTGGAAGATCTTGACTTTGCAGATGACATCGCTTTACTATCACAGCGATATAAAGATATTCAAAGCAAAACTGATGACCTGGTCAAGTTTGGCAGACAGATTGGACTTAAGATAAATGTGAATAAAACAAAGTTAATGAGGATAAATACAAAGATAGACAAAGAAGTCACAGCAAACAACAACAGAAAAGAAGAAGTAGACAATTTTACATATCTTGGCAGTAAGATCACAGCCAATGGAGATTCCATCATGGACGTAGAAAATAGAATTTCAAAAGCTCGTGCCATCTTTGCCAACCTACTGAACATCTGGAAATCCTCAATTATCAGATCCAAAACCAAACTAAGGATATTTAAAACAAATGTCATCGGAGTCCTTCTCTATGGATCTGAGCAAAAACTGGATACCTTCCAAACAAGATGTCTCCGTAGAATACTGAAGATATTCTGGCCAAACAAGATCACCAACAAAGAGCTGTATGAAAGAGCACACAGCTGCTATATCTGACCAGATTAAAGAAAGACAATGGAAATGGATTGGCCATGTGATGAGGATGAAACCATCAGAGATACCAAGGGTAGCCCTAAAATGGACTCCACCAGGAAAGAGAAACAGAGGGCGACCAAAGGAGACATGGCGACGGTCGGTTGAAAAGAAAATAAATGATCAGGGGTGGACTTGGGGCAATGTACAGACAATGGCAGCAGAGAGACAGAGATGGAGGTCCTCGGTGCAGGCCTTATGTGCTTAAAGCACGAAGAGGACTAAGTAAGTAAGAAAGTAAATATGTTTGTCAGTGCTTACTTACCTATTTTAGTGGAGAAAGGTCAATATTTATGACACAAGTGTGCGAAAATAAAAGAAAACGTCATATTTCTCGTTTATTTTATCATAAAGGTATACTTTTTTTCTTTGTTAAACAGGTCTGGACGATTTTTAAATATGGAAGTCAAGAACGATAACCGAAAGTTGCTATAAATGTACATCAAATACACGTAATTATTTTTCTGTCCAATCAGACAACAGCATTTTTACACACCCCAAAACATATTTTAAAAAGAACAAAAAGATAACACGTGCTTTTGTTTTTTTCCTCAAAAAGATTTTTTTAACAAAAAATCTGTAGAAGTAAGATGAAAACTTTTGAAGAATAAGGTATTCCCCACATTTTTACCGTGAACAACCTTGACATTTTTATCTCGGTAAAGAAAAAATAATAATGCACGATAGAATGTAATCGTTTACAGAGGTATAGATCGCACCGGCAAGTTTTTATTAGGTTCAATTATAACATTTACCAGAATATATTATATGATGGTAAATATAATTTTGCTGAACCGTCCGATTTTCATCGATAATGCTTAAATTCCATGTGTATATATCAACTCACGCAAGTGTTTATCGTATGGAGTATACACATATATAGTTTTGCATTATCATGGGTTTCATGAGCGCCGAATACTTAGCTATGCAGACTTTAAATGGGCATAAGGCAAGGCGTTTAACGTGGAGAAAAGAGAATCCTGAAATTATATACACTAATGCATTTTATCCCAATATCTTACCTCGCACATCAGAAACTGCATGGACTACTAGTATTCTGTAATAAACACTCAAAAATAATAAAGACTGTTATCTTTTCGATAAGATTTTTATGTCAGGCTCTAAAAACTGAAAATGTACCGTATTTATATCATTTTTTTGCGTAAGTAAACCTTTGGGATTGCTAACTCCTAGAGACAGATTTTTTTTTATCCCACTTAAAACGTATTACAAGCTTTCAAGTCGTGTTTGTTCACGGTAGAATAGTCATAAATATTATATTATTCCCAAATGCGCATAAAGTTTACAAAAAGTTTGTTCTAAAAAAATCTTTTGAGCAAAAAACTTAAAAACCACGTGTTTTATTTATTCTCTCAAGGGTTTGTCTAAATGCTGTTATCTGATTGGTCAGAAGGATTTGTGCCTTGTTTATTCTGTGTATTAATAGCAATTCACGGTTCTTGACTTCCTTATTTAGAAATCGTCCAGACCTGTTAAAATAAAGAGATGAATCATTCCTTTCAAAAAATATGAATTACAATATTTTCACACGAAGACTTTTTAAGATATTACCAATTATGCATATTAGAATTATAAAAAACACGACAAGAAAAACGGGGTGATACTTACATTGTGATCCATATTATATTGTGAATTGTTTTAATTCCACGGTGTTAAAATTTCACGATATCTCAAAAAGTGCCATTTACGATGGTTTTAATTTCACGCTGCAAGAAATTAATTGAAAATTTCCTATATGCAATTTAACATTATTAAAAACTAATAATGATATTCACAATGGGTTTAATTTCGCGGAAAATTAATGAATCGCGAACATAGCGAAATTAAAATCATCGTGAATATTTGCCAATATTAATCAACAGTAATTTTTTAAGCTAGATGAATTACAATAAATTTGCCTTCATATTAAAGATACAAGTCATATAAATTGAATAATTGTTAATTCTGAAAGTGATTTGACATTTTTGGTTCTTTTTAGAGAATATTTTGGGTAGAACAATAATGTCTTAAATTAATCTATTTTTTGCATTTCACACTGTTTTTGCACGTGCTCCTGTGTAAAAGCAAGCATATAAAGGTATTGTTTTTAATACCTAAAAGTTAAGAGCAAGTGGTCAGGAAAGAAATGTCAAAGTTTTGAAAATTTCACACAAAGACTTTTTGGACATAGGTCCACCCTTATGGTACATTGATACTTTGATAAGAGAGAAAACTCTTAATGACAAAAATGTCTATTATTCCTTTAAACATTTGTCAAGTTTAAGTGCCTTTTTTGTCAAATTTTGCCCCGCAAGCCATGCTATAAATGTTTGCATTTTATTCAGCATAAACATTTCCTTTGGAAAATCATAAATTTTAAAGAAAATTTTCATATGGGTGAGCAGAGGGTTTATGAACCATAACCATTAATTGACTGTCATATAAAGTCTAGAGTACTATGTGTCAGTGATGTTTATCTTATCGTTTACAAGCTTCATTATAGATTTTAAAGCTATATTCTACGTAGTACAGTTAAGGTGCGCAATGGAAATATCGACTAAATTTTGTATTTAAAAATGTATTCAAAATCGGGATAGCGATTATTTTTAGTACATTATTTATATCGGATAATTGTAATTACATATAATAACTACATATCGAGGACGATTATATTTTATATTTAGACTAGTCACGTGATGCACATTTACTTGCCGTATTGATGTTACATATAAATATCACTAGTGCAAGGGCATAACGAAGTTAAATTTCCAAGTTAAGTATATAGATATTTTCAGCACGCATTGTAGTTTCTAAAAAGTGCTGCAATCCTGTCTAAATTCTGTAATTTCATTGTTAAAATTATACTTGTATGACCGTATGCTATATATTTTGCTGGTCAGCGGCATGAAATATTGATATAATTAAATTGTTTTTAAGATTACATCAGGATCGCAGCACTTTTCAGGTACCTTAACAGTTCTATAGTTGAAATGTAAAAGCTTACTTTGATCCATAGAGTGTATGCCCTTGCACTAGATCGATTTATTAAGACCCCCCACATTACCTTCTGATGTATTTGCATACAAATATACGGCAGTGTTAATTAAATACGTAATGTACAGAAAATATATCAATAAAATAGTGAAGAAGACATTAAATTCAAGTAATTGACCCATAGAATATCTGTAAATAATATTTTATTTAATTAGAGAATACATATTTTGTTGAGAAAATATTACTTAATCTGTCTCTCGCTGCATACAAACTACGTCACGTTGTAAGAAATGACGTCATATTGACAAGTGTATTGCGATCAGTGACATGTTTATAACTTGTTATGTGGGATTTAACTAACGACAAAACAACACGCTGTAGTAAGTTTTTATGTAGTTTGATGATTCCTTACTGGTTAAATTAGCAGATAAACTCATTTTGTGGTATTTTAAAGAAATGTTGTATGACGTATATTGTGTATGATGTCATAGTCAAGTTTTCCCGTAAAAATTAGGCTCCGCCTCCTTTTTGTAACCTTAACTGTGCTGTGTATCCGTAAGCAGCATTCAAGAGGGATAAAGATGACAAACCTAAACAAAAATCGATAGGTCACCTGACAAACCTAAACAAAAATCGATAGGTCACCTGACAAACGTAAACCAATAGCCAGAGGTCACCTGACAAACGTAAACCAATAGCCAGAGGTCACCTGACAAACGTAAACCAATAGCCAGGGGTCACCAGACAAACGAAAACCAATAGCCAGAGGTTACTTGACAAACGTAAACCAATAGCGAGAGTTCACCTGACAAACGTAAACCAATAGCGAGAGGTCACCTAACAGCAAGAGGTCACCTGACAAACGTAAACCAGCACCGAGAGGTCACCTGACAAACGTAAACCAACAGCAAGAGGTCACCTGACAAACGTAAACCAACACCGAGAGGTCACCTGAGTAAACCAATAGCAAGAGATCACCTGACAAACGTAAACCAACAGCAAGAGGTCACCTGACAAACGTAAACCAACAGCGAGAGGTCATCTGAATGTCAAAGCCATTCTAAAATATTAAATATTAGGCATGCTCTACGCTAACTCATTAAGAATTGTAGCGTGGTTACCTTGGGAAATTATAAAAACCTCTGGTTTTGTTCTTGTCGGAACTGGAAAAGATTTTCTTCTATTAAAGTAAAAGATAAAAAATTCCATGTGCATGCATAAAAATATATTGTAAATTTTTATTGTATATAATTTTTTTTTTTTTTTGAAATAAAGTAGTCATTATTTAGAAACGCTTTGATTTAGATTTAATACTGCATTCAATAAAGGCTAAAAGATGTATATAACACATTTATATATGAACAAAACTCTTACAATTCGGAGATAATTAAAACTTTAAGCTGTGATTTATTCAAAATTATTTGCATAAATATGTCGCTACTTACCATTACAGCTATTCTCTGGAAGTACCATAATTTTCTTTGGTTCTAGATTGAATGAAGAAATGTGAAAATAATAAACATCTTAAATGGTCAAAATCAAAAAAAAAATTCAACAGTAGAAGAATAAAAAATGAAAGCAGGACAAAAACTGACATATAGAAACAAAAGACGTGGGTTCAGGTACCATTGAGGAGTAAACATCCCTGAGACTAAGACATATCCTTACCAGGAAGACGGAGTTTTCCGTACTCGCTTGAGAACAATATTACTATTATAGTATTAAAATCAGCATGCTATATATTCTATATACATGTATATGATTGTATATGCAAAAATAAAAACTGTAGAATTAGAAAATTGACGCATTGAAACGATCTTATTGAAACCTCTGTCAAATTGATTTATTTGTCGCTAATCTACCTTAAATAACCAAGTCTTTCTGACAAGGTCACTCACATTGCATAAAAAAAGCCATTTGCAAGATTAGTAAACAGTTAAAGTATATCATTGAGGGAGTAAGCAAGATTCCAGTTCTCCAAGACCAGTATTATTTCCCGAGGCGCAGCGCGCTAACTCTTTCAATGACATACTTTTTAACTGTTATTATACCGATACAAATAGAGGATAACGAATGGAGGGGAATAAGCTTCAAGACTTACAAACGGGGAATTAGTCCAGTAACATTAGACCGATACAAAAGTAAAAACTAGAGGGTTATGGATAACCGTGGAATTAGCTTCATAAGCAGGGGAAGCTCATTTAACTAACGCATGGGGAATTCGTCGATTCACCGAGACTTTTAGGGAATTGTTCAAATTTTACTGCCTTACTTGCATATAGGAAAAAATCTGTTGAGGTATAATAATAATTATTATATAATGCTATATAATAGGTAAGGGAAGTTGACAATAAAAAAAGTTTAAGTAATATCTTGATCATAAAGATTATAGTTTATTATTGTCATCGATGCCTTTATATTTTGTAAAAGAAATCATCTGAAACAGATGAGAAAGATTCCGTTAGTCTCTCTTATTGCGTTTTAAGTGAAATCAATCAAATTTGCATATACATATAAATTGCAATGAATGATTATTGTCCTGTCCAGTAGAAGTATTCTTGACATAATTTGTACACATATGACGTTCTCTCTGAAGCTCCTTATCAAGACACTGTCAATTATACCCCGCCTTTTTGTTGATAGAAATCAGTAGGTGTTAAGTCAACAAAACCTATAGATGTTTAGTTGACAACGACTTATGGGTGTTTAGTTAATAGGTGTTTTTGTGACATTTATCTCTCTCTCTCTCTCTCTCCACACTCTCTATCTCTCCACTCTTTCTTTCCCCACTGTCTCTCTTTCCCCACTCTTTCTTTCTTTCTCCCCACTCTCTCTCTCTCCCTCTCTCTCTCTCTCTCTTTCTTTCCACTCTCTCATTCCCCCTACTCTCTCATTCTTCCCACTCTGTCCCCACTCTATCTCTATTTGTTATCAGTACAACTTACCTGGACACCATTCTGCAAAGGGTTTAGGATCTGATGCTGGAAATTCTAAGGAGCTGAACTTGAAAAAACCTAAAAATTAAAAAAAGGATGTAATAAAACAAGACAAATAACGAGAAAAAGAAACTTTATGACTAAAATTAGATCTAGTTAAATATTTTAAAGTAAGTGAGAGTAAAGGCTGTTCTCTGGCCATATTGGAGGTAGGACAATGTGAAATGGAGGAGAAAAAGTCGACCACGCGGGTTTGTTAATGCAGCACACGGATCAGAATTCGGCGAATTAACACTTTTTTATAATATGTAATAGGGTGAATTCACCATGCATCGGATACCCTTGTACTTCAACAAGTTCTACCGATATCGCTACCGATGGAAAATTATCAAAATGAAGTTAAAAATTTAGTTTGTGATTAAAATAACAATTTAAGACACAATTATATGCCGTTTATTGAGAAAATATCCCCAAAAAGCGAGTTTTTAGGAAAAACTGAGAATTCACCATGGATCGGACATTGTTTACCATGCAGCGGACAGACGGTATGGAGACCGGAAAAATATCATATCTTTATTGCAGTGCTTTAAAATTCTTGATATGGATATATTTTCATCTTTTTTCTAAGAAATAACCCTCAACTTTAATTTAATCGACGATATTATTGCCCAAATGTAGAACGATTCTAGAGACCCCACTCTGCCTTAGAAACGCTTTAAAATGCTTATAATGCCGTAATTCGCGCCTTTTTCTTATGGTTTATCATACTCTAGTTTGTAGAAATAAACTGAGAAAAATTCCAGACGTCATATATCGGTAACTTGTATTTTGACTGAAAATATAAAGTTTTTATTTTCTTTTTCTGCAAAAAACAGCTGTCCGCTGGGTTCTGTATGAAAATGGTAGTGCTTACCTTTGCATCGAAAAGTGTCCGATGCATGGTTAATTTGTGTCCGATGTACGGTAAAAATAGCATACTAGCAAAAACCAGCTCTAATAAGAATTACTGTAAACAAACATTGAAGTGAAATTTAGTTATAATTTATGTAAAATTACCAATCCCTGACAAAATTCATCAAAGTCCGACTCGTTCCGTGGAAGTCGATTTTAAGAACGATAACTCTAAAAATTGCAAAATCATAAATTTCGGGTTATTCCCCTTTGATGATGTAAAATATGACGTAACTTCAAGGCCATTTTGCGGGGTATCTTTATCACAACATGATAAACACAATCGGTATCATTCAAAAATTTAAATCTTCTTCTTTATGACAGAAACAAATAAATACACAGAACTCTTAAGCTGAAAGAGAGTTTATTGCCTGAAGTTGTCCGAAGCAAGGTATGTGTCCGATGCATGGTGAACTCACCCTACTAATAAATCGGAAAAGTCATGGATAAAACTTTTGCTACTATTATGCATTCTATAGACGTCAATGGGATTTATACCACAGGAAGCACTACACCACGACGTCACCTCGTGACGTCTATAATTAGAAAATATGCCTTAATGAAAAAGTGAAAAGTTCAACACCGTTCAACACATGATTACTTTGCATTATGTTATATAACATTAATTAAAAAAATTACATTAATTTATAAAACGGTTGTATTTTTGTTTAATGTTCAAGGAAATCGGCAGGTTTTTTTAGATATCATTTATAATTTTTAAGTAGAATTCAGACAAGGTTTTATGGATATGTCGTTATATAGACGCATGAACATACTATATTTTTAATTCAAATTGGACATAACTATTATATAATTAGAGATAAAGGGATTCAATAGAAAACTCTTACTTCTTCTTGATATGAGTTATGAACTTTAAATTAAACTGCCAATTGTTAGATGTTTTACTAGAATTAACATTTTGACTGGACAAACAGAAAATCCACTTATAGTCCCTTTTATAGTCATCATTTCATAGGTTCTTTGGTCGATACAATGACCTTCCCAGCAATAGAATTCATCATTGAGTCAAATGCTGACTGACGTTTTTCATACTAATTGCTAGGCCATTATTTATACACTGAATTGACGACGAATTTTCCAATATTTCCCGATCATAAGAAGGATCACACGGGGGATGTGACTGATCGGCAGGGGATGCTTACTCCTCCATGACACTTAATTCAACCTCTGATGTTTTGGAGTTCTGATGTTTGCTCTGCTCCTATGTTGTATTGTTTATGGACTTTAATATCGAATACCGTTACCGTTCACGGTGGCTCAGTCGGTAGAGCGCTCGCTTCGTGATCGGGAGGTCGTGAGTTCGTATCTCGGCCGCGACTGACCTAGTCATTAAAATGGGTAGCAACTGCTCCTTCGCCATGCGCTCGGCACTTTGAAGTGAAAGTTGCGGGTCCTGCGGATAAGACCTTAAAAACCGAGGCCCCGTGTCAGCGGCAGGCGTTGGCACGATAAAGATCCATAACTGCTCAATGGCCCTGAATGCTGAGTAAAGGTCAAAAATTTAAAGTTTTTCACCGGCATACGGTGACGTCTCCATATGAGTGAAAAATTCTCGAGAGGGACGTTAAAAAATATACATTCAATCAATCAATCGAATAGAGTTCGTTATCTCCATATCATTCTATCATTCATTATCTGACCCAAATTTAGTTCATCTATATTTTATTACTTAATAATTCATATATTTTATGTAAATAAAAATAAAGTTGTGATTTTTAGACTTGAATGAAAAGCAGTTTTATATCGCTGTGTCACTTATACATGTATGTTCAAAAATTTACAGGGAAACAAAATGTTGCAGTACGTACATGTAATTTATTTGAAACAAATAAGGAGAGGAACAGAACAATCCAACGATGTACAATCCTCCACGCTATAGTTTTGATTAGACACTCGTATAAACCCATTAAACCATATCCCGCTAAAAGAAAGGATAATATAAAAGTGTAAATTAAGAGGTTCGATAATCATCGATTAATTAAAGTATTGGGATATCAAAAAATAATCTCAAAGTCCAAAGTTTGAATACAATTCAGAAGTACAGCAAAAACGGACCTATATGTGGGATCAGATGACATGGGAGACTAAGCATCCCTAATCAATTTATGACATAAATATAATACAGGTACATACAATTATAAACGAATATTCTTATATGAAAATAAACAAACAAATGAAAACGAACAAGTTAAAATTTCATAATTTTATAATCTTTTAATTTGCTTATATAGATCATCATTTAGAGCTGAAACTGAAATCCCGAAATATTTTGTAGTGGTAAATTGTAAAAAGTTGTGGATAATTATGTGTTACACACAGTGCAGCCGATGACAAAATTATTTGCATTGTAACCTATGACAAATCTTCACTCCATACACGTATTGTTCTCCGTCCAAATATTGTCGTCGGTTAAATGTATGTGCAAATGAATGCTTTTTTTCATCTATAGAATGTATGAAAATGCATAAAGTACAATTTTTCTACTTTAAATGAAATTCTACTACATAAAATATAAAAACAACAATCATGACAATTGGGCATATAGGTCAAAACTCCAATGAAACAACGCACATAATACTGAAAGCCGAGTAAGCTCGGAGCTCTTAAAACATCAGAAAAGCGATCATGAGTCATAGGAAAATGGATATTCTCAGTTGAACAATCACACCCCACCCCCTGCATGACCAGGCAAATTCAGTGTGAAAAAAATTGTTTAACAGTTTGTATGAAAAACGTCAGGCTGCATTCAACTAAACGATATATTTTGCTTACAAAGTCATCGTATGGACCGCAAATTCTGCGAATTGTTGAGATCGATGTTACAATTGAATCATTAACGAAGTTGCAAATAGTTTGCCTTGGTATTTTTTTTACATCGTTAGTTCGCATTCGTAGAACATTTTTAGCGCTTTGAATCCCATGGGAGGTCTTTTGCAGTTGATAATTTTTAGTATAACAAAAACAGGGAAGTTAGCGATTGAAAATTAAAATCATCGCATTTAGTATGTGTTGTTCGTACGTAGAACATGTTCTAGTATAGCGTACCCACATTTTGTCATTTACGCCGCGGGACATGTCTGCAGGACACGGAGGATGTTTGAATTTAAACCTTAGAGAAAATTTTCATCATCTTTTTGGAACAAGTAGTTGAATAAAAGCAATCAGTGTATGTCAAATCAAATTTGTTAATTAACTGACAAATTTTCTTTTTCCCCACGGAGAATGTGCAACACTAACTTTTAATTGAATGAGACTTTTATTTCAAGGAGTGTTGATATCCATTCTCTTTACAGAGGTCATCAAAAATGTTATGTCTAACTATGATATGAGAACACGATCCTGTAAAATATCTCAGAGATACATGAGAAGATTGCTGACAAGGCAAAATTAGACGTCATTCCCAAATATAATTTTCTGCCAATGTGTTTAAACCTTGATAATGCTTTTTTATGTTACATATTATTGTTTAGAAAGAACCTTTTATTTTCGTATTAAAGATACTATATGTGTATTATCAGGACTGTACTAGAAATGAAGACTGAGAAACTTATTAAACGTATAATTTCTTATTAGAAGCAATTTCTGGCGTTACGTCTTTCGAGTACTTGTATGTAAAATTAGAAAATACGTTTGCAATTGACCACTGACAAAGTAATTTTACTGTTTTCATTACTATTGAAAAGGCAACTCTTTATAATGTCAAGAACTACTGTAACAACACGATTGATTGTAAAGACTGGACCTCACTTCCTTGACAGGAATGATGTATAACAATAGAACAGACATCGGAACCCACTAGCAATTTTTTTTAGGAACTCTGTATAGGTATGAAAACAAAAATATCTTTAAAAAGAGAAATATTTCTTTAAAAACAAAAAAAAATATCCAACATTTTCTAAGAAAAAAAAATGTACTGCTATTCCTCCCTGACTTTAACTTGTCTTTTTTTAAAATGCTTTTTTTAAGACCATGTGATAACACGCATCACCCTGATCCTCCTTCCAGCAAACGTAATTATTTTTTGGATGTTTGACTTGGATATTATGTTTTAAGGACAGATGACACAAATATTTTTTTTTGTTTTGGAGGAGACTTAATTTCATGCCACA